AGGCATTCGCCTATCTTTCCCTCAATAAACTGATACTGATACTGATACTGATGCATTACCCGTTTCTCCTATTGTTTCCTACTCATGTCTCTGATGATGAATCCGCGCGGATGCCGAAACGTCAGGCGAATAAACGTATTGTCCCAGCGATCGAGTCTTCTTCTTCTTCTTCTTCACAATTTCTTCCTTGGACTCGCATGTTCGCTTTTATTGGCACCTTGTATGTTTTATAAACTGCACTGACGATCGAACATATGTTATGCTCTGTAAGAGGGCATTTCACGGTCTTCAAATGTATCATATTTATAAACTGACAAGGTAAATAGCCAGTGACTCAATGGTTAGAATGTTAGACTTCGATTTCGAACCTCATGTGGTGCACCACTTGGAATTGGGTATGGCTGGCTGACGACGGCCAATTAGCCAGAAATAGCCATTCCAGTCCTTCTTTTCTTTTCCCGAGAAACGAGACACTCCGCAGAGCGGGACAAGTGAGTTCCGTTTGCGGTTCATAAACATTCGTCAACGAGTGTCAAATAGGAAGGTTTTAAGACTGAAAGATCCCATTTCTTCAGGTATAGACTTTAAAGAAGCGCGAGTTTCATGCTCAAATCCCCACTCTCCTCATACGGTAAGACTGACAGACTAATAGTGGTACCAAATTACGGTCTATTCTTTCAAAGGCAAATCTAGCCATCATAACACTGAGGCATGCGATTGATAATCCCATTATTGAATTTTGAATTTGACGGTGGATAATAAAGGTAGCTACATTCTATATTCTCGAACGTGGCGTTTACATTCTGCATTTTCAGAGTCTTGCTGCGGTGAATAGGATTTGGGCTGAAAAAATCTTTATACTTCCTTAGAAAGCATGAAGGAGATCAAATCTAACGTATTTTAATTAATGATGAATGATGTTCTCTTTAAATAAGGATGGGTGAAATATTCCAAATAATATTTCAGAACACAGTACGATCTCACTTTGTTGAAGTTGCAAACTAAAGTAGGAAGAGAGCAAAGCCTTTTAAGTGGCGTTATTAGTGACAAAAAAATAAGCTCGTAGTCTAACACTAGGCCTGGGTAGACTGTCAACGTGCTGGCGTACACTGAAGTAAAGAGGAGAGATCCGAAGAGATTTTCAAAAGGGCTCCAAAACGGACATAAATACAAAGCCAGTGCTGACCTCGTCTTCTTTGAAAAGTTTACTTATCAATGACCGAGTTCCTGTTGCTATGTATCCCGCCGAAGAACCGAAAACAGCCGAGATGAAGAGCACGTACGTATTAGGACGGACACCTGCAGCCATTAGACCAGATTAGTCAAACAAACAAATAGAAGGATCCATCCAAAGTCCGTGAAGAAGCGGAATAACGAGAGAAGACCGGAACCAATACATAAACCAATGAAATTGGCTCTCATTAGATGACTGATGTAGACAGTCCCCTTTTATTCCTTGCTGCAATCTGTGATGTAGCTATTGGCACCCATGCCGAAGCTGTTACTCTTCCCTGCCAAGCCGTAAACCAGGGCTCCGATCAGGAGGCAAAAGCCACCATCCGGAACCAGACGAAGATCACGTACTAGACTGACACCAAACAGACAACAGGCAACGGCTCCACCCACAGTGGGAGCCAGAAATGTTGTCTTACGACCATGGGTG